AGGAGGGGGAGAAGAAGAAAAAGGAGACGATGGAGAAAAGGAAGAAGAAGAAGAAGAAGAAGACGAAAAGTAGACAAATTAGGGCAAACTTAAACAAACTAAAAAGTATGAAGAAGAAGAAGAAGAAGAAGAAGAAGAAGAAACGAAGAAGAAATAGAAGAAACAAAAAAAAAGGGTAAAGTTGGAAAACGTTTTTTTTTCAGAAGAAGAAGAAGAAGGAGAAGAAAAAGAAGTGGGGATGACAATGCATGACAGGAAGAAGGAGAAGAAGAAGCAGAAGAAGAAGAAGGAGAAGGAGGAGGAGGAGAAGGAGATGAAGAAGAAACGAAAAATTAGGGCAACCGTTTTTTTTCGAGGAAGAAGAAGAAGAAGAAGGTGGACGCTTTTCTCTCCCTATCCGGCTGTCGATCTCTCTCTCACACACACACTGACCGGAGGAGGAAGGAACGGTCAGTGTTTCTTGCATGCCGCAACGCAGGAAGCTTGTTGAGGAAGAATGTCGCCTGTGTGTTGCTGAAGACCCTTCAGATGAGAACCAAGTGAGTGGACTCCTCCACCTCACCTTGGTTGAATCAAGCTCCAAGCTTCCACCCCGTCTCCCCCACCCTGACCACACTCTTCTCACCTCCCTAGACAACTTGGCTGCCCACACTCACGGCTGCCTCTAATGCCACCGGAGATGAATGAGAACAGTGTGGGCAAGCACACTCTTTTAACTCCCGCCAACCAGGGAAAAGGTAGTGACCGCGGTCGGCGGCCTTCCAGACCGTGCCCCGATCGGCCGACCACCCCGGTACCAGCGAGAGAGGTCGGAAATGGGCTGTTGGGATGCAGGTCGTCACCTCGCAAAAATGCGACAGGCCGACAACCGCCGATTGGTCGGCGCCGACCGGCCGATCAGGTGGCGGGTCGACGCCCGACCGATAGAGGGCCGCCGGCTGTCAGCGGGTCCAACACTGTTGTACAGCAACTCTCTTGTACCCGGTAGCAATCTTTGAATTTGGTTAGGGTTCAGACAGTCAATGGGTCGCTTGGGACTCCAACCCCAGTGCAAATCGTTAGGCGTCTTAGTTGTAGCCAAGTGCACAGAGTTATTATAAGCACTAGCTACCTTGGGAAAATGCCCATCCCTGTTATGATCCTGGTCAATTTCGAAGTACACATTCATCACAAAGTACAATCCCGTCCACTTGCAAAAAGACATGAATGAACTTGAGAGGAGAGAGTGTTAGAAAAAGGAAGTAGAAAGAAAGAAGAAGAAGATGATGTACACCAGCATAGACCAATGAGAATGCTCTTCTTCTTCACCAAACACTCTCCTCCTCCATATCTCCTCCTCTCTTATTCACACAAGAAATAATAATACAGTGTTGAATGGCTGAACCAGAATCAATGTTCGAATCCCTCTTCTACATCAGGTATCACTTACCATAGCCATGTCCGCCTCTCTCCCTCTTCACTCTCATAGGTCGAGGCTATGGCGGACTACCGGGGCATGGCCCTGCTGCCCATAGCACAACACAAGCAGCTATGGCTACTCTAGCTCAGGCCACCATACCTGACCCTGCCTCGAAGCTTCTTGGTGTAGCTTACACCAACAAGGGCCTTCCTGCTGCAGCGCCCACCAAGGTGATGAAGATGGCATCCACCATAGCCAGGTAAGTACCTACCGCGCTCCTCCCTCCTGTCCTGGTCTTCTTCCTCCTCCTGTCCTTGCCCCAGCAGCGCTGCTCCAAGCTAGCGCTGCTCCAGCCAGCGCTCCAACCAGTGTGTCGCCAAACTTGCACACCGACAATGAGGCCGGGCTCTTTGCTCGGCTTGGAGATATAGCGGTCGTCTTGCCTCTTAGGCAGTGACTTCTACGCCGCTCGGCCTTCCAAGCAACCGGTACCTCCTCCCTTTCGGAGGGAAACATCATTGCAGACTCTGATATTTCCCGTACAGGCCCTAGACTCGGACTGATTGGACTCGTACCCGCCTAGACCTAGCCTACAACTACTGGGCCTCTAAAAATGCCAACTTTTGTCTTCTTCTGCTCGGGCTCGAGTACCAGGCACATCTACCTCTACTTGGTGTGGTACCGGCCTACCTGATACTTTGTTTCCCGCTGCTTCAAGTGTTGCGGGCCTCTTTCCCCACCACTTGAGTGTTTTCCCCGCTGCAATCCTCAATGTCACGGCCACAAGTAAGTACTGGCCCTGCGGGCCCATTGAACGAACAAGTGCCCTTGCTGGTCACACACACACTCAAGCCAACAAGCACTTAGACAAACATTCAGACCAGCAAGCGTGCACACACACAGACTTAGAACTTAGTAGCAAGCGGGAAACTCAACAAGGCATTCACTCCATGAGCAAAACTCAGAAATCAGTTGTGTGTCGCAGTCCGTGTTTGGTCAGGTCATCACACTAACCCCCCCTTAAACCACCAGTACCTCATGAAAGTGCTCCCCGTTAACGGCCAGCCAAAAGTGGAAATCACACTGTTTCCACTTGGCTGAATCGGGCCTACCGGCCCCTGGCCCGTTCATCCCAAAATCCATGCCCGTTAATGCGGAGCTCTTTCAGGAGGTACTGGTAGTTTAAGAGCGAGGTCCCTCCGAGCGACTAACTCATTCTGAGTCTTCGACAAACGCATCATAAACAAACAAATCAAAGAGATTCTGAGAGTACTCCGTCACAGTGAGCTTTGCAGAGACTTTAGGTACAGCATTAGAGGTGACTTGTCGATCATAGGCCTTACCAACGCGAGGTGCGCTGCGCAGCGATTCCTTTTTCAAGATCCAATAAAGATCCTCCAACGGGTGATACATAAAATGAACCTGGTACGGTTTGTTTGTCCCTTCCCTACGTGCTGTTTGATTCTATCAATCTCATGACCGCCATTGATTGCACGAGGAATCATGTCTTCACAATAATCGAAGGACTTAGCATCACGTGTCGATTGTAGGCCTTGACAACGCGAGGTGCGTTGCGCAGCAATTCCTTCTTCGAGATCCAATCGAGATCGTCCAACAGGTGATACATAAAATGAACCCGGTATTGTTTGTTACGTCCCTTCCCTACGTGCTGTTTGATTCTATCAATCTCATGACCGCCATTGATTGCACGAGGAATCATGTCTTCACGATAATCGAAGGACTTAGCATCACGATGTATATACAGTTTAGATGCATGAAAGACTGGGTATGTGCACAGATGAGGAGGCACAACAACTATGTACGAGGGGGCGAACCCATCCTTGCCAATCACGTCTAGAACCTCCCACGGACCGTAATAGACTGGGAGAAGTGTGCGTGACACTCCCTCTTCTTCTAAGAATTCAAACATCCCGACGTCTAGAACTTCCCACGGACCGTAATAGACAGGGAGAAGTTTGTGTGACACTCCCTCTTCTTCTAAGAATTCAAACATCCCGACGCAAACATAACTTCCCACTTTAATATCCAACGATTGGCGTTTCTTGTTCGCAAGATGGATCATTGCGTGATGTTGCTTGGTCATTGTTGCTATGGCAACTTTAAGCAAACGATTGTACTTCGCACTAAAGCCAGGTGTGTCGGGTGTTAAACCAGCTGGCTGTTCAAGAAATAAGTAGGAGAGCGGATTACGTATCTGCCAACCGTAATGCAGCCTATTTGGCGTCATGTCGGTGGAAGAATGGATGGAGTTGTTGTACAACCCCTTGACGGAATACAGTTCTTCATCCCATGTTTCCTGATCCGGAATGATTAAAGCGCAGAGAAGTTGGAACACAATCTGGTTGATCTCCTCAGCCAAACCGTTGGCTTCGGGATGTCAGCCAGATGTCATACATAGTCTGAGGTCAGGGGGTTGGGACGTGAAGTCCCATTCAGTACTTATGAAGCGCGGGTCCCGATCACTCACAAGAGTTTTCGGGGATCCCAACTGCAGAATGTACTTGTGTTCGAACTCACGGAACACAAGTTCAGTTGGGGCATGAGATAGCAAGGGAATCAGATCAACCATCACTTGCGAATAGCCATTCTTACTTACCTTTCCCATGTCGTTGAAGTCAATAGAGACTGACTCACCGAGACCATCGGGAATTCCCATGTCGCTGAAGTCAATAGAGACCGACTCCCCGGGACCATCGGGAATGGGAAGAGGTGTAAGTAGCCCCATGGGCTTTTGTCTGGATGGTTTGATCCGCTGACATACTTGACACAAAGCCACAAACGTTTCGGCAAATCCCTTCATACCAATCAAACTCTCTCAACAAGTTTCCGTATGTTTTTGCCATGCCAAAGTGTCCACTCCGGCCGTGAGCCAAGTCCAAAAAGTGTGCGCGGAGAGGCTCATGGTTGGGTACACACAAACGGTCATTATTTCCATAGCGTCGAAAAACCAGTCCTCCATATTCGTGAAAGTCAGGTTGACTGCTAGGGTCAGCCCTCAACTGCTAAAGGATTGGACTAAGGTCCGGATCCTTGGTAGTGTGCTCTACGATCTCCTCCTTCAGTTTCTTCTGGAGGTCGTAGGAATTCACAAGGCAAGTCGGGTACTCGGGGTCGTGAGACAATGCATTAGCAACTCGATTATAGCAGCCCTTTTTGTGCTTTAGTTCAACATAAAAAATGTCAATCTCATGGAACCAGCGGGTTAATGTAGGGGACAATGTGGTTCGTTCTTTCATCCACTTCAAAGTCTCATGATCTCGGAACACTTTGAAGTGGCGTCCTGAAAGATAGTGCTTCCAATGGTCCAAAGCCATACGCAAGGCATAGAGCTCGCACCCGTAGGTGGAAGTAGCTACCTTTTCGTTGGGCATGCGTTTGCTGTAGTACTCGAGCGGTCGCAAGTCGTCGTCGTCATCTTGTTGCAGCACTGCACCAATCCCATATTTGCTCGCATCCGTAGTCACTACAAATGTTACCTTGGAATCTACAATACGGAGTACAGGGTAACTTACCAAGGGCTCTTTCACGGCTTGAAATCCGATCTCACATGTTGCATCCCACGTGTAAGATGCATTCTTACTTGTCAATCGGGACGATGGGCAAGCAACAATAGAGAATCAGCGCACACACTTTCGATAGTATGCTGCGAGATCAAGGAAAGAACGCAGTTCGCGGATGTTTGTGGGTTGAGGCCAGTCGCGTATGACCTCAACCATGGTTTCCTCAGGCTCTAGGCCTACAGCAGACAACCGATGCCCAAGATAGATGACGTTATCCCTCCCAAACTTAGATATCTCTAAGTTGGGATGGAGCTGCGTATTTTTTAGGATGGTGAACACTTCCTCAAGGTGCTTCAGGTGAGCGACTTTATTTGTTCATTTTCTTAGTCGCGCCACTTTCTTGGTTGTCAGAAGCGCCTTCACGCACGGAGAGAGAGAGAGAGAGAGAAGCTTGTGAGTGACAGGGAGGGAGTTACTTGCCAGCAGCAACAAGGGGGAGCGAGAGAGAGCTCTGCATCATGTGTCAGTGACCAGGAGGGCAGTTTCTTGCCTGAAGAAGAGCACACAAAGAGAGAGAGAGAGAGAGAGAGAGAGCACATGGACAATGATCTGTGATTACGGGCCTGCACGGGCTTGTCCCGTTCACCAGGGCAAGAACGAAGCAGGCATTGACCTTCAGCGGGAAAAAAAAAGGTCATTCGAATACAACAATTTTCTCTTCACGAAATTCAAATATAACGCATACGCATATTATTCGAATAGAACGCATATGCATTATATTTGAAGTGCCCTTGTATTCGAAGAAAAGGGTCTGCCTTTCCAAAAATCGTTTTTCTTGGAAAACTCGAATACAACGCATATACATTATATTCGGGGGAAGACGGTAGCCTTCCATTCAGCCTCACTGATAGCAGCCAACCTCCGGGCAAACAAAAATATCTCCAGACTCCGGGTCACACGTATCTCGGAGGACGCAATCTCGATGTGCTCCCTGTTTGCGGACGACCTCACAATTATGGCAGAAGCCACACACCGCAATATGAAGGAAATCCAACAGATAATGGAGAAATTCGCCAGGGTTTCCTATATGACTGTTAACTGGGGAGCAAGACGCAAGGTTGGTGGATCCATTATCAAAGGGGGCGCCCCCAGAATTACCACGAATCAATCGGATGTCGTTAGAGACCCCGAATAGAATCTTAGGGTTGTCCATGACCACAGAAGGACGCCCACCAACCAATGACGAATGAATCAGTACTGCGGCTCAACAAAAATTAAACAACTGGAGAAACAAGCACTCATCCCTTTTCGAACGCGCATTGATAGTCAACAATGTGATCTTCGAAATGTTATGGTACAAGTCCTTACTGAGGCCACTGAGCAAAGTGGCCCGGCAGAGCCTAAAGAGGAAGGCAGCGGCTTTTCTATGGAGGGGGGACGGCGAGCAAGATAATGTCGTTAGTCGCGTGGTGTGGGAGTCAATCATCCAGCCTAAGGCATGGGGAGGCTTGGGAATAATTGACCCAGCCACTTGCAAGCATTACGTTTAAAATGGATTACAAAAAACTCCATCTTTGCCCCTCAGAGCCCATGGTGTGTTTTAGCCCTAGAACGCTTAGCCCAACTGGCCCCGACTGCCCCCCAAAACACACCCGTTGACATGGCTAGAGGTTCGCTTTTGTGCAATTCCTCGCAAAATCCCACAAGGCAAGGGGGGGGGGTGGAGGGCGGCGGCCAAACGATGGATATTTTTTGGTTGTCTCTATTGGAGACCTGGCGCAGACTTCCACTCCCAGAGAAGACCGCCCCCATCCGTTGGGAGGACGTCTATCGACAACCTCTTTTTGGGAATCGATGGTTGACGGATTCGCAACGCTATGTCATGACAAGCTCATCACTACCCTGGAAAAGTTGGGTTAAACGCCGGGCGCATAGGGTCGGGGACCTCTGGGACAGCGAGAGACAGGACTGGAAAAAGGGACAACAACTGCGGGAAATCTTACAATATTGTCATCACGTAGAGAAATCTTTGGATAACATAATTGAAGCCATCCCACTGGCATGGTACCAAACCCTCAAACGAGGCCCCTCTGTGAGAGAAGGAGACTGGGTGGCAAGCAAGTAGACCCCGTTGAGGTTGGGCCTGGTGTTTCACCTCAAACAATCTTGGTCGAACACTATACCATCACTAGAACGGGCATCCTGCAAGGGAATACTGGAAAGAGAAAGCATCGATATACCGAGTAAGAGTGATGGAGGGAAAGGGACAGAGGATGGCTTTCCAACCACTAAAGCCAATCCAGGATCTGGCCCTGGACCCGGCGGAATGGACATGGAAACCTTCCCAGAGAATAGGAGGCCCCAAAATGGATTGAATCAGCCTGCATCAACTGTCGGTTAAATCAGCTTATAAAATGCTCAGACCAAAACGATGCCTGAGGTACACGGTCAACAATCGCTGGGCTAGACACCTCAATGTAGACCGCACCCTCTTATCACCGGTTCAATGGTTTAAGGAACAGAAATCTAAACCTATGAAAAACACTTCCCTACTGTGGCAGATTGCCCACCGCTGTGTGCCAACAAACGACTGGCTAACGGACTAGACAAATTTAGAACAACGAGGTCTACTACTCCCATGGTGCCAATGGTGCCCGAGTCTCTTCCCTTTCTACAAGAAGGCGGAGACCATTGAGCATATTTTTATGCAATGTCCGATAGCCCAATTTATATGGAGATGGTGGGATTGCATATGGCGGAAGCTAGAACCCGAAATCCCTTGGCCTTGGTCATGTCAAGCTATTCTGGCTGGCCACTGGCCGACAGCAAGAGCAGCCACAACCTTTTTAGAAAACATGTACAAACTGGGAAGGAGGGCAGTGATATAGGCACTATGGTGGCAGAGGTGCACTCTGGCCATGGAGAAGGTGAGAATAGATGGGGCAGAGATCACCAAACAAATCCAGCAGCAGGTGCATCTCGAGCTCACACAAAGATGGTCAGACACAAAAGCACAACTAAACCTCTTTACACAAATTGGAGATGTTAGGAGACGGATTACTGCATTCTGTATGGATTGGGTAGGAGGGGAGAAAGAAGGATGGATAGCAAAAGTGCAATGGAGTGCAGACAAGGGAGAGGGACAACGGGACCTGGAACAAATAAGAGACTATCGCTTAGTCTTTAAAGACTGGACAAACATAGAACCCTCGTTCCTACTACGCCCATCCTCAAACTTTCCAGACCCCTTCCCACCCCACGCCCTCTCTTTGGCAGAGATCCTATCCTGAATCCTCAACGCATATTAGGTACACTCCCAGGGGAGGAAGGTTGGGATTTTGCTTAATACAGAAAATATCGGTTGCTTGAATCCGCAATGGGATGCTGGACCCGTTTTCCAGCACTGATTCCTATTTGTCATGGATGGCTAGGCATGGTTTTTGAGAGCTGCGCTATTAACTGCAGCTATCCAAAAAAAAAAAAAAAAGAAGAAGGACATTGGGCCCGGTGTGACGAAACCCGGGGAGGGGTCGCCTACTGTTCACTGAAGCCAAGGCCAACATCGCCTGTCACTCGCTGCGCCCGCGTCAGAGGTCCTCAGCTACCAGCGGAGTGTCGACGTTTGTGCTGCCTGTCACGGGCCTCACTCGAGACTAAACTGAATGCCGATTTATTTCATGTGGAATTTGCTCGAAACTCAAAAGCAAATAAACTAAATGTGTGTTGGTTGTAGATCAGAGATCTGCTGAAGTTTCACTCGTAAGCTCTCTCGTGGAGGATCTCCTATTTGCAGAGATGTAGTCGCAATTTGTCCACCACACATAATTTGATTGAAGATCAGCTTTAACTGATGGGTACTTTACAACGAATCACAACTAGGGAACACGTGCTTAGCAGAAAGGGGTGAACCGACAACTTGACCAAAACCCAAGGGGTAGTTCTGCAAATTATTCCAAGCAAAACCCATGTCACTAATCACGGATGTTTTACCGCATTTTTAAAATGAATGGTCGTTTTGCGATTAATACCCAAATGTCAAAAGCTTGATCGTTCGCAAATTTGAATGGTCAGATGCTCCGCCTTGCAGGCCCCCTCAAGCATCTGAAACCTGATCCTCGATAGATGCTTTGCTTGAAAAGTTACAGCCGATCAACTAACATCACGTCGAAAACCCGTGCGGAGAATCTTTCGTTCCTTCTGTTTCCTGCAGGTAGCCGTCTATGAGAGCTAGTTCGACATGGTGATTGCACTG